AAGGGAAGCTTTGTATTAGAGAGAACTTGAATTATTTGCTTGGTGAATTACAAATGAATGCCCCCCTTTATATACTAGTCTCCTAGGGGCTAGTGAGTAAATATTAATTGTTGCACAAGTCCTTATTATTTACAAGATAAAGGCTTTCTCTAGAATTCTCTACAAACCTAGAAGATTCCAAGGACTTTCTAGCAAATCCATAAGGATCTAGGGTCTTCCTAAGGAAATGTCCATACTTCTCTAGAATCTTCTCACGAATGCTAGCCTTCCTCTTATGTAAGCTTCCACATAGCATTAATATATTCCAAATATCGCCTATGTGGCATGATGATGTGGCGGGTCATCACACTCTCCCCCACCTAATATTGCAACGACTGCGGCGCAATGCTGCTGCATAAACTCTCGGATCTTATCTTTGAATTGCCACAAGTCTTCATATCGTTCCCACGTGGCCTCCGCCGGTGATTGCCTTTTCCAATGGGTGAGTAACATAGCGGTGACTTTTTGCCCTTGTTTTCGCCTGGCCTGGTAATCTATAATAGCCTCAATCTCCCGATCATACGAGGCGGTGATAGTCATTGGCGCTCGACTTAATTGGCCCCTACTCGGATCATCCTTATCTTCATGATATGACTTAAGCATGCTGGCATGGAAGACATGGTAGATCTTAAGATACGATGGCATGTCAAGCTTGTATGAGATCTTGCCTACCTTGGCGACGATCTTAAATGGCCCCTCATACTTGCAAATCAGATTTTGATGCATGCCTCGTAGTGCCTTGAATTGTCTTGGGTTAAACTTCACCATGACCATGTCCCCAACTCTATAGTCCGCGGGACACCACTTACGGTCCGCAAACTTCTTCATCTTCTTATATGCCCTATCCAAGTAGGAATTAGCAGTATCAAGCTGCTCTTCCCATCCTTTGGACATATGATAAGCCCCCAAACTCTTTCCCTCGAATGCAGCTGGTAATGAATGTGGAGTTTGTGGTTGTTGGCCTGTGGCTAGCTCAAATGGTGTCCACTCCGTGGACTCACTCCGCTGCAAGTTATAAGAGAATTGGGCGATGTCTAGGAGCCTTGCCCAATCTTTCTGATGCGCGCTTACATAATGCCTCAAGTAGCATTCTAGTAAGGCATTGACCCGTTCCATTTGTCCATCTGTCCGTGGGTGGAAACTAGTGAAAAAGTGAAGTTCGGTGCCAAGTATCTCGAATAAATCTCTCCAAAAGTTTCCAATAAAATGGGGGTCTCGATCACTGATAATATGCCTTGGTAAGCCCCAATACTTCACCACGTTCTTAAAGAATAGCTTGGCGGCTTCTTTGCCAGTGCAACCTGGTGAGGCGAGCATGAAGTGGCATATTTGGAAAATCTATCCACGACCACCTAATAGTACCATAACCATCGGACTTCGGTAGACAAGTGATAAAGTCCATAGTGACGCTCTCCCATGGACACTCTGCAACTGGCAGTGGCTCTAAAAGTCCTCCGGGCTGTTGTTGTTCAACTTTGTCCCCTTGACAGACAAGACAAATATGCACATAGCACTCTATGTCATCTCGCATGCGTGGTCAATAATAGACTGACTCAGCCAAGGCCCTAATGCGACGTTGACCTGGATGACCAGCCCACATTGTGTCGTGACTCTCCCTTATGATCAGTCGTCTAATGTCTCCAAACTTAGACACGTAGACCCGCTGACCCGTGGTAAGCAGTAGGCCGTCTTCTACCCAAAATCGTCTCGTCTTGCCTTGGTTGGCTAACTCGATAAGCTATTTGGTTGTTGGATCATGCTGCATGCCTTCTTTTATAGCCTCACAAATGTCTTATCTTGCTGAAGTGATTGCAGCAAGCTCGGCTTTCCGGCTCAAGGCATCGGCTACAACGTTACCTTTTCCCGGCTTGTACTCCACCACATAATCAAACTCGGCCAAGAAATCTTGCCACCTAGCATGGCAGTCTCTGAGAGGTACACACTGGAGTGTTGATCATGGCCTCGTCGTCCCTCACTTCGCCGTGCCTGAAGTAGTTCTCCAAGTGCCAAAGGAAGTTTTTCACTTCTTGTGCATCACGAACACCTTTGAACACCGGGGGTTTGGGAGCCTCGATCTTGGCCTCCCTTGTCACCACATCATTGCTGGCTGCCTCGGTCACGCTAGCATTGACATGCTCCTCCAATGACTCTATTTTTGCCTTCATAGCATCAATAGTACTCAAAGCCTCCATGAGTCTGCACTCTAAGGCAGTGATGGTTTGCCTTAGTTCCATCTCGGTCTGTGTACATCCCTCCAAGTCATTTCGGATACTCTCAATCTCTTCAAGAGTGTGCCCCTCAAGAACGCTAAGGGTGCCTTCCATCTTCCCCAAACGTTGGCCAAAGATTTCTGCGGCGTCCATCCCCGCGTTCATCTTAATCACCCACTCTTTACCGAGCGAGACGTCCTCGGACAGGACCCCCACTTCATCCTCGCTCGCCTCAGTGGAATATGGTTCTTGGGATGTAAGCACTTCGTTTGACACAACCTCGGGTGGCACCTCCTGGCTCTTGTTGGTGGCATTCCTCTTTTTGTTACGGCCGCTCTTGCCAGCAGCATCCTGGATGACATTGGCTTGGGTATTGGCAGTATTAATTTCTCTGTCGTGCGCTATTCCCTTAGTTGCAACCTTTGCTTTGATACCACGTTGTCACGTCCTTAGTCGTTAACTAAGGACACGTGCGGCACTTGACAACTCGCTCACGTTCTTGCACAACTTGCTCACGTTCTTACTATGCCAATTCGGCCTTACTACACTCAAGATTGCTAAGAGAATGGTAGAAAGAACACAAGAGAATTGTTAAGGGAAGCTTTGTATTAGAGAGAACTTGAATTATTTGCTTGGTGAATTACAAATGAATGCCCCCCCCTTATACTAGTCTCCTAGGGGCTAGTGAGTAAATATTAATTATTACACAAGTCCTTAATATTTACAAGGGCTTTCTCTAGAATTCTCTACAAGCTAGAAGATTCCAAGGACTTTCCTAGCAAATCCATAAGCATTTAGGGTCTTCCTAAGGAAATGTCCATACTTCTCTAGAATCTTCTCACAAATGCCAGCCTTCCTCTTATGTAAGCTTCCACATAGCATTAATATATGCCAAATGACGCCTATGTGGCATGATGACATGGTGGGTCATCACACTCGGCTTGGCTATAGCCTATAGGTCTTATTATATTCGATAGGAGTGTGTAATGTCTAGTACAAGTATAGAATATTTGCTGATTCTACTATATTTTGAAGGAAAAACATAAAATATCCGTATCCATAAAATACTTACTTCACACGAATACGTTAACTAAAGCAAATTGCAAGCAACATAGCTTAGGATTTTTTTAATCGTAAAATTTTATATATATATATATAGAGAGAGAGAAAAGATTACAATGTGAGGAATCAAATCATAACCAACCAACAGAGCTATAAAGATTCCCAATATAATTACAAATGACTTAAGGTATGTTTGGTATGCTGAAAATATTATCTTGATTTTTTTTTCCTGAAAATAAGTGATTTTCTTATTTATTTTCTGAGTTTTAGTTAGATAGTAAAAATATTATTTTGGAAGAAATATAATTTAGACAAATACTATAATTTACAAAATAGATAAAGATGGGAGAGGGTGGTAGTTTGAGGGTGTTGGGGCCGGGCAGCAGGGGCAAAGGGTATCGCTAGGGATAGTGGCATTACGGGGTGGTCTAATGGGTGGGGGTGCTGGGGTGGGCGTGGTGTGGCAGGTGGGGTTGGGATAGGGATTATGGTGGGGGTGGTGGGAGATGGGCTGGGTGGGAAAGTTGAAAAAGAGTTTTAAAATATATATTTTTTTCCTCCTCCAATTGAAATAAATGAGTTTATGAAAAAAATATATTATATGAGTAAAAAATATTTTCTAAAAAATATTTTAAAACAATATTCAAACCAATGATACTTAAAAACCTACTAAACTGACCGAACCGTACCGAATCGATTTTTAGGTTTCCTTTAATAAAACCATAGGTTTTTATATAAATCTATAACCGTACCGGTAATTAGGTTACGTTTTTATTTTATGAAAATAAATCGAAAAAATACCGAACCATATCGAATAAATTTATATGTGAAAAATATATTTATATATTAAGTTTAAAAATAATAAAATATTAAATTTTCTTGGGTTTTGGAATTATGAAAATAATTACAAGCCAATAATTAATAAACGCAAAATCATATATCAAACCTATTATGCTACTCCCATCGAAAATAAATTATTTCCAGCATATTCACTAGCAAGACACAAGGCATTATAGCGATTATGAGTAGCAAACTACAATGTATTGATTATATTTCCTTTCATATGATTTAAATTTATCTTTTTGAATATTTAATCTTCTATAGACTTTATTCTTGAGTCCAGTCCCAATTTGGTTAATATCTTTCCACTCGTGTCATTTATATTTTCTTTACATTAAGTTATTTAGTTTCTTTTACGCTATTGTAGAGTGGTTGATGGATCTATACTCTAGCCATCTTTCATATTTTCTTAATTCATCACCCTTTAAAATATAAAAATGTCTAGAGAGTTTTGCTAAGTACTATAAAAGTATGTATATTATTGCATTATACTTCTACTAGTGACTTTTACACGACATTTAAAAAATACCGAAAATTAACCGAACCGTTACGATACCGAAGAGAAACCGATATAATTGGGACGGTTTCGAAAAGTCTAATTTTGGTTATACATAATGAATAACCGAAAAATTGATATGGTACAAAATTAACAAAAGAACCGACAGAACCGAACTATTGACACCCCTAATACCAATACACCCTTATGGCTTAACATAACATTCTTTCATCATCATCGAGTAGGAAAAAGAAGAATAGAAAAAAGAAAAACCACACATCACACATGGGGCATAGTAACCCCTCATTTTCGCGGGAAGCAGCTCAATATATACACCTCGCCATGGGCGCCATTTCATTTTTTGCAAATACAAATCCGTGACATTTCAAAAACCTTGGCGATCTGATAACACAATCTCTCCCCAAAAATCTCACAGTAATCAGGTCATGCGAACTCGATTTATCTGCACAGATTACTTCAATTCCACTCCAATTTCAGCTCGCGATTTCCTCCGCCTCCCTCTTTCGCCTCTTCTCACTGACCCGAACACCTCTAAATTCGAAGACATTAATTTTTCTGACGGAGTTTCTACTCTTAGTATCGATGTCGAAATCGAGAAATTTCCGATCGAGGCAGCTCTCTCCAGCTTCTTCGCCGATGTCCTTCCGCACAACATTGATGTTGAACTCTCTGAGTTCGCAGATCCTCAGCCTTTCGCTAGTTGCAGTTCCGAGGTGCAAACAAGCGAAACTACGAACTCAGAGGTAAGTGCTGAGCATAATTCGAACTCTTTTAGGGTTTAAATATTACTACATACACTACAATTTATGTGACTGTGTTTGACTCGCTAGCGGAGTTTAAGAAGAAAAACAAAAAGAAAACTCTGAAACTTGTGGTAAAAAATGAGTCATAAATATTTATTTGGCAATAAATTATCTCATTAAAGGTAAAATGAGCGTTTTAAAGTAAAAATTGTTACTAAATATAAAAAGAGATCATTCTGTTTGGGTCTGACTAAAAAGAAAAAAGTGTCACATAAATGGAGGGAGTACTATTCCCGTGTAACATTTTGATTGGAATTGTTGTGTGAACTAAAATGCATGCTTATGTTAATTGAGGATCTCTCCAATTGCATTGAGTTATCTGTCAATATAAGCTTCCCTTGAGATTTGTTTAAGGATTTGTCACTTCCAAAGAGAGCTTCAGTGCACTAGACTTGTCACTTTTGGTTTGACAATGATTCTAAAAGATACTGCATATTAGCACATTTTGATTGATTATATTAAATTTTAAAAGATGGTTCTTCTTCATTTATTGTGATTTAGAAAATTTCTAATGGAGAGTTTATGGTGCAGATGTGATGATAATAAGAGAATTATTTTTGCGTTGCGTGTGTTGGAACTAAGATTCCCCATTTGGAACTCATATTCATCCGTACAACCTTCCAACTTTGTTAAACATACAACCAAAGATTTAGGTATCCTATTAAATCTTTAGAGATTTGAGATTCCTGGTAGACTTTCTAGTGATGGCTCCATGTGCTTCACTGATACAGTAATACCTGAGTTTGTATTGTGATACTGGTAACTATTTGCTATCTATAAGGTAGTGTTATGCTGAAGTCTAATACGTAAAAAAGTACATGTGCTGCACATGTCTTTAAGAATGTTAATGAGGCTTAGGCAACGAAAAGAAATTTAATCTCAAGTGAGAAAGAATACAAGTTGGTTTCAAGAAGCAACTCCAGTCTTCACCTTATCTCAACATTACGTCTGTCTTAGGCTGCTCATGTACTTTTTTGTTGCAGGGGACTATTGTTTCCTACAGCAAGGGGAAAGACAATCTTGAAATGGTCCAACTTGAAATTCGGGTGCTGGATACATCCTGGCTTCCATTGGTAAACCATCATGGCAATCAAGCAGATACGATTTATATACTACTAGCTAAATTCTTATGTGGAACTTCTGGATTTATTTGTTTTCCTGTTTGTCAGCTAGAAGACATTCCTTATTTTGGAAAGGAGAACATGTCAATTCCCTCTCATTCGGATGGTGAAGATAAGTTGGTAATATTTTGATGAATTACATATCTCTTCAGACATTCTAGTTTCTATGACCGCAGTGAAGTGCTTTGGTTTATCTTGCTACCTTTTACAATGACAGTGAACTACCTAGGATAGGAATTCTATGACTGCAGTGAAGTGCGTTTGGTTGGTCTTGCCACCTTTTACGATGACAGTGAACTACCTAGGATAGGAATTACCAACTCCCTCCTTCTGTCAAGAAGAAGCCTTTTGTCAAAAATGAAAAATGGGTGGTTCATATTGATAGAAGAAGCTTAGCGATTTTCGATATGATATAACTTTGTAGTTACATGTCTTCTATATGTTCGTGCAGCTGGGACTATGATTCCGAAGACAACGTCTCTAGCACTTTTCTTGTTGGCCTCAATCATCATTTGTGAAACTGGATTACTATCTTTCTTCTTTTGTATTTTCTGATGCTCTTAACTTGACTACTTAAATCTAAGAATCACCTAATAAGGTTCTTAAATACAATTTGCCGGGATATTGTCCCAAACCGAGCTTACACAGTTATGCGACCGAGACCTTTCACCTCTCAATCTGCGCCGTCCTTCAGTTTCAAACATCTTTTCTTTATATATTGATCTAAAGGATAGTGATGCTCAAAGACACAGTGACCTCTTGTGAAGTAATGAAGTTTGTTCATTGTAGAGGACATGAAGAAATTGTACTCCATGCCATCATGTTAATTTACTTCTCTGAGACTGCGTAGACAAAAGGGGAAGACCTAACCAAATAAAGCGCTACTTTCACCTTTTAAGTGCTCCACTTACTGGTTTGGCACATCATTGTTCACTTTTTGCAGGATATGCCCGGTCTTGAAGTTTGGCTGCCAGATTCCCCTGAGATCCTGCAATCAATTTGTTTAGTGGATGACATCTCTTCTGTGGCTTTACTGGAGAAAAGTGCTGATTTGATGGAAGATGGTGCTTTCTGTCAGGGGCAATATCATTCTAGTACAGATGTCTTTCCTCATCTTGAAGTGGATGAGGCAGGTTTGGTTATTGTCAGTGACAAATCTGTAAAGGAGAAAGTTCTAAGCATTGAAAATATTGAGCTTCACTGTGAGACGCCAAGAAGTGAAGGAATGGGTAGCAGCAATGAGCTTTTGGGTTCCACAAAGTTTGACACATTCCAACACCTATCAGATAGTAGTTTCGCAATGGGCTGTTGTGAAGTTGAGGTTCCGTGCTTGAATTTCTCTGCGGAGATGGATTTGATAAGTATTATTGAACTTGAGAAAAACTCAGTGATCCATGAAAGCATAGAAAATGATGGTCTAATATGGGTAGCAAGCCCAATCATTTTTGATGAATTGCAGTTCTTTGATTCAGACCTTTTTTCTTTTCGTGAATTCCAGTCTGAAGCAAAAGTAGATATCGATAAAGATACATGTGACCTGATGTTGAGAGAAGCCGAGAATTTCAGGAACTTTGACGAATTGCTTGTTTCCCGTGAGCTCATCCCTGTGGATAATTCTTTCAGATCATTTCCTGTGCCACCAGTTCCTGAGAATGGAAATGTAAAGTCACTGTACTTGTGTATTAAGGAAATCCTAGCTGAGTTTGAGCCGCAGTCTCCTTCCATGTCCGATGGGTTATACTTAGATTGGCCTTTTCTGGAAGAAGAGAAATGCGAGTATCGAGAAGACTGTTTCAATTTGTTGAGGGAGATAGATGCTAACGACATTGCCTTTTGCTTGAACTTCAGTGACAATGAGATGCTTGTATCGGACTATTTTTTCTCAAGTGATAGTCCACAAGAACCAAACAGAGCGGAGAGCAAGGAAATGCTGAGTTTACCTTCTAATGGCATTCCTATACCTCCCATCCCTTATAACATAGAAGTGTCAACTAAGTTGCTGAATGATGGGAAGTTCCCAACTGAAGGAGTATCATCCCAATGTATTGCTAGAAAAGCATCTTCATTTGGTGACTCCAGGTCAAAGTTTAATGATCTTGATTTTTTCTTAAATCGAAAGGAGTATAGTAGAGGCAAAGATTATAAACCAGCTGACAGTTCAATTGATACTAGTGGCATGGACCAGATCAGTTTCCTCTCTTCTTCTGCTACCACATTATTGCAACCTCAATGGAATATCAGGGTGCATCAAATATTGTTATCTACTGATATTCTACTTCTAATTGATGATCTTAAGAAGACCTTTTTAGCTATCTTTGAAAGACAGAGAGAGTTAATTGAGGTTCAGGATCCATCTCAAGCTGTGGACGATGATGCTATTCTTCGCCTTCCAAAGAAAAAGCTCATCAATTTAATTAAGAAAAGAGGCATATGCAGGTCATCTTTGTCCCAGGATGGTGATAAAACGATGTCATTGGTCACATTGTCTGCAATCAAACAGATGGTTTGGTACCTGTGCTACTATGATCTGCATACAACCTATCTATACATAGAAAAGTTATCCAGGAGCTTGCAGGGATTGGAATCTAAACTTGATTTCATCTACAACATCGTAAAAGATGTGCATCAGAAGGGTGAAAACGATATACATAAGTTCCATCCATCGCTATCCGTTATCAAGGATATACTGGAGACATTTAAGAGCAAGGATAGTTCAAAGATATTAATTGTGGCTGAGCCAGTGTTCTGGTGGTCATTGAAGAAACTATTGACGTCCATGAATATTGCATTTTTTCAACAACAGAATGGACAGAAGGATGATTTTTACAAATTAGAAGATGCCAGCATGCAAATGATTCACGAATCAGACTGCTGTTTAGTAACCCATGAGTAAGTGGGAGTTCCTACAGAAAGTATGCTGGGATTGGGATATTAGCCTGCTTAAAAGTATGGTTGATCAAACTTACAGTTTCCAATTTCTTGTTTGTATCCTTGTATTTAGATGTAGTCTTTGCTATTCTTTCCAATTCATCGTTCAGGACAAACACTAGCATTTTGACAGCTGGCCTGCTTAGTCCTCAGTGATTCAAATAGCAGAAGATATCTGTTTTTGATCAGGCTGGAAAATAGTTTATTTTTTACCTTTTGAGACTCCAGCTTGATGTTTTGCTAGTCTATTGTAATTGCTGTTTCATTCCTGATAAAGATTCAGGTTTTAGTTGGGTGATCTATATAAACGTCACTGACGTTAAGGCGCCTCTAGGAGAAAAGTATTCTAAACTTAAAGATAGCTAGTCATTTTTATCTGCAAAACTACTACTTTAAGAACTAAGATATTAATCTCGTCTGAGGAAAGGCAGAGGTCGGCAGAATAGTGTTGGGGTGAGGTGATTAGGCAGGACATGGCACATCTTTAGCTCAACGAGGACATGACCCCTTGATAGGCGGATGTGGAGGGCGAGGATTAGGGTAGAAGGCTAGTAGGCAGTAGCACATCTTCCCTCTCCTTCCAGTAGTAGTAGCGTTTTTTAGTATTTCCATATGCTTAAAATTCTATTACTACATGATATTGCTTGTGTTTTGATTGTTCTACTTCCTTGTTGTTGTTACTGCTTCCCTGACTTTTACATTATTGTATTTCTTCTCTGTACTGTTGTGATTTGCATGCTTGCTTGGAGACGAGGGTCTACTGGAACAGCCTCTCTACCTGCACAAGGTAGGGGTAAGGCTGCGTACACACTACCCTCCCCAGACCCCTATTTGTGGGAATACACTGGGTTTGTTATTGTTTGTTGTTGATAGATTGGCTGTGTGAACGGTATTAATCATTCACTCAATAACCTATAGATGTCATATTAATGGTCCTATCCTTCTCTGGCAGATGCATTTCTGATTTTTGCCATTAATATGTATTTATGCAGCAAAAGGGTGTCAAAGTAGTTCCAAATTTGATTAATTAGTGATAGATAGTAATTCCATATTTTTCCAAGGACAAAGAAAAATATCTACAGAAGTCTGGGAGAAATTTGAATGAATTTACTTTTCATGAATTTGAATGGGTCCTTAAGAATCATATTTTCTTCTAGATAAATTGCCCTGGAATGCTGAGGTATTACCACCAAAACAGAATGTTGACGTTACATTCAAATCCTTGAGTTTGAAGTGTAGTGATCCTTATTGAATCCATGGCCTTGGTTGATGAATTTTAATTTCTTTTTCCTATTATCTCTTTTCGATCAGATCTTTGCTCTCTAACATGCTTGAATGAAGCTACTTATTTGCTTTAGTTTTAACTTAAAATCTACAGTTTACCATTTAGTAAGTATCATGGCAGACAATGTATGGTTTGGCTACATTGAGGCAGTTCAAATTTTATTTGTTCTTAATATTGTTTACCACAATGCTGTTCACAAGTTCCCTAAATTTAGATTGAGATTTAACGAAATCAACTGATATTTCCACTTTTTTTCTCCAGGCATCTGTTTGCCTCATTTCCATTTGAGAAATTTGAGATTATCTTGGAATATGGAGGTTCACAAGAATCATCTAAAGTATCTTCCATCTTGCCAAAGTCAGATAGAGTTCCTCCCCTTCATTTCCTTAAGGTGGAGCTGGAGGACCCCAGTGTTGCAAAAGCTCTTTGTGATGGTGTTGACATGCCCAACATTAATGAAGCTAGTGTGGCAAGTCTCTTTCCTTCACTCGACTACGATCTATTTCACTATCAGTTTGACAAATAGCACATAGTTCTGTGTTTCCTTTCTGGGAACGCATGACACCAAATTGTCTTTGTAATGGGAATGAAAAGTTTGAATATTGTCAAATTTTTAATATTCTAATTGTTTTGCTATTTTGTTTTTGAGTCAGAATATATAGTTCAATTTGCATTAAAGTGTTAACTACTATGGTATTTATACTCCAAGAGACGTGATGGTTGTTAGTTTTCTGAGTCAGAATATGGTCCGTAATTAATCTTATACGTATAAGTTTGTACTTTTGACTACTTAGGTTTGATCCCTTCCTCATTCTTTTGGTACTCTGTCCGCCTTTTCTTGCTTGGCTGAAATTTTCAACATGGCCAAGTTGATTCCCTGTTTGACCTCCCCTTGTGGTGGATTAATCTCACTCTGGCCTGATATATTTCCATTTTTGCATGGTAGTGAGGTTTTCTCCATCCAAGTCATATTCTGTGGCTGGTAAATTATGATCAGTTGGGGGATGAGCTTATCATTTCTGATAAAAGCACCAAATTTTTTACAAAAAGAGAATCATTTAGTGTTGAATACTTTATGCTGTCGATCAGACTAGAAATATTTAATTCAAATCTTCAAGTCCTATAGTTCATAGTTCATTCCTAGGGGCTTCAAAAGTTGGATCTTCTGCTGACATGCTCTTTTTCTAGGAAGGAGGTCCTCACTCGTGCTCTACTCTCAATGAGATTGACGTTACCTTTGAAGAACTGCTAAATTACCTTCCAGTGGAAAAGAACTTGAAGGGTGGGAGCATGGAGGCATTACTGGGAAATGAAGCTTGCTCTACTGCAGCTGAAGATGCAGTATTCAGTTCAAAATCTGAGCAAAATCGCAGAAGCATAGATGGCTGTCCTGAGACTATCATTATAGTTAACACACACAATTTTGACACTGAAATGGTAATTTCAAGGAGAAGTACATACCAAAAGATTCTTGCATTTGAGAAGAAAGGAGTTCAGGTCATAGAGCGTGATTTACGTCAGCCTGTCGATATTATAGTTAGTGCATCCACTTGCCTTGCTTGGTATGACTGCAAAAACATTGCAAAGAAAGCTACTGCCTCCGACGAGGCTTTCTCTTGCTTGCCTCAATGTGTCGAGAATATTGCAGCAAATATTTTGACGTCACTCAGTTTTGCTTTCAGCGGCTGCATTCTGGTAATTAGTTGTTTTTGTTTTTTCTTGTTTCCAAACTGTTCCTACCCAGATAGTTTTGTGCTAGATCTAAGGTATGCAATGCAAATATTTCCGCAAGAGCACTGGACATCCCCTC